ACTTATTGCAAACAGTATGCTCCAAACAATGTCCAATTGGCTGTCAGAATCTCATGCTATTACACTAGATACATGGCTGGGCACAGTGACTTACGCCTGTAACCCCAGCATTTTGGGAGGCTGAGGCAGGCGGATCACCTGAGGTCAGGAGTTCAAGACCAGTCTGACCAACATGGAGAAATCCCTTCTCTACTAAAAATACAAAATTAGCTGGGTGTGATGGCGCATGCCTGTAGTCTCAGCTACGTGGGAGGCTGAGGCAGGAGAATTGCTTGAACCCAAGAGGTGGAGGTTGTGGTGAGCTGAGATCATACCATTGCGCTCCAGCCTGGGCAACAAGAGCGAAACTCTGCCTCAGAAAAAAAAAAAAAAAGTGCTAGATACATATTTTCTACCATCAGCCACAGAAGACTAGAGTGAGAGTCACAGGCCACTCCCATCCCATTTCCCTGAGCGTCTACAGCCTATCACTATTCTGGTACCAACTTCTTTATCGGTTGAGTTCTGGATGGCAAGCAACAGAACCACTGCCTACTTCAAGTTTTACAGAATCTCCAACAGTGCCCAAGAATGAGGTTCTGAGACTTTGCAGCCAGCAAGTGTCCAAAATCAGGTGAGGACAGCATGGTGGCAGCTGCCTGGCAGAAAGTCCAGCTTGCCCTGATAAATCACCAATCCTGGACACTGCACACTGACTCACAGCTTTGCTAGCTTCTAGCTAAAAGGCTGGGCTGGATGTGCCTGAGTTCAGGGTCTAGCAGCGGGAGGGAGCAAGACAGGAAGTGCCTGGCATCTCAGCTCCCATAGGGGGTTACAGGCTACATATAATATGAAGGGTTCCTTAAACCTGGGAGGGAGTTCAGATTGGATGAAATATGAGATGAGGTGTGGTGACTCACAGCTATAATCCCAGCACTTTGGGCAATTGAGGCAGGAAGAACACTTGAGCCTAGGAGTTCGAGGCTGCAGTGAGCTATGATTGTGCCACTACACTTTAGCAGTCTGGACAACAAAGCAAGACCTTGTCTCTTTAAAAAAAAAAAAAAAAAAAAAAAAAGCCACACAGAGAGAAGCCAGCTTGATCTGATTTAGACCTAGATAAGTTGGGTGATGTATCACACATCTGCAGCTAAGGCTCAGAAAGTCAGAGGAGAGGAACTGGTTTATGAAGGAAGTGTTTAGCTCTGTGACCTTAGACAGGTCAATCAACCCTGACTGAGCCCCAGTTTGCTCAAAAATCAGTTAAGGGGGCTGGGCTAGAATCAGACTTTCCAACACTCCACATTATAGCACCCAATGAAAATTAGCAGGAAATATGGAATGTGGTTTAAAACATTTCTTTTTTTTTTCTTTATAGATTACTCAGTCTTAGATACATTAAAACATTTCTTTTTTGTTTGTTTTGTTTTCGTAGAGACCAGGTTTCACCATATTGATCAGGCTGGTCTTGAACTCCTGACCTGAGGTGATCCACCCACCTCGGCCTCCCAAAGTGCTGGGATTACAGGCGTGAGCCACCACACCTGGCCAAAACATTTCTTTATATAATAGAATTATAATACAAATAAAATATATAACATTGGAGAAGATATTACATATTTCATTTGTAACTTTCCCCAAAAAGCCTTCTTTTTTTTAAAATTTTACCTAAAGTTTTTTAACTCTATTTCTTTTCTTTTAAGCCTTCTTTTTTCAAATGAGAAATTTGAACTTAAATCCATATACCTCACTTTTATTCTGTTTTGTGCTCTAAATAGCTTATGTAGGTAAGTCCAGATCGAGTTCTTTAACTGATCTTTTTCTCTTTGGCTTTTACTTATTTATTTATTTATTTATTTATTAGAAATAGGGTCTCACTCTGTTACCCAGGCTGGAGTGCAGTGGTGTAGTCATACCTCTCTGCAGCCTCAAACTCCTGGGCTTAGTGCATCCTCCCACCTCAGCCTTCCAAGTAGCCGAGATTATAGTCTTGAGCCATCACCCTGGTGCCTGATCTCTTTAAATGATAAGAAACCATTTGCAACTGTATGTTACAAGAATTTAAGCCATCTTTTACAACCAAACCTTCACAACAATGGGAATGATATTTAAGTTAAAGTTCTTTTGTTTCTTTCATTAACAAATGTCCTTAGAATATTCCTTCTGGACTTTAGAGCCAATCAAAGTTTTCCATAGTTAGTATTTCAAAATCATGACGAGGTTCCAATGGACAGAACACAAATGCATTAGCCACTTGTATTCTTTTTTTTTGTAGAGACGGGGTTTCTCCATGTTGGTCAGGCTGGTCTCGAACTCCCAACCTCAAGTGATCCACCCACCTCCACCTCCCAAAGTTCTGAGATTACAGGTGTGAGCCACTGCACCCAGCCCACTAATGCACTATTAGGGCAATCACCTCACAGCCTGGACATCATTTGTGGTATATTGGCCAAAATTATCCAATACAAAAGTATGTGAAGATAGTTTCCAAGCTGCCTGCCCCAGAATCCCCAACCCCCATCTCTTAATTTTTTAATTTTTATTTATTTATTATTAGTAGTATTTAAGATGGAGTCTGGCTCTGTTGACCAGGCTGGAGTGCAGTAGCGCAATCTCAGCTCACTGCAACCTCCACCTCCTGGGTTCAAGCGATTCTCCTGCCTCACCTTCCCAAGTAGCTGGGATTACAGGCATGCACCACCACACCCAGATAATTTTTGCATTTTTAGTAGAGACAAGGTTTCACCATGTTGGCCAGGCTGATCTCAAATTCCTGACCTCAAGTGATCCACCCACCTCAGCCTCCCAAAGTGCTGGAGTTACAGGTGTGAGCCACCATGCTCCACCCTTATTTCTTTCTCTCTTCTTTCTCTCTCTCTCTCTCTCTCTCTCTCTCTCTCACACACACACACACACACACACACACACACACACACACACACTGACACCTTCCTGCACATTGGATTACTCCTTATACTCCTTGGGCTCCTGAGACATGAATTCCTCTAGCATCTTTGTGGGTCCCTTGTCTACGCAGGCAATAATGTGCTATGCAACTGAATGCCAATGGTGGCCTCCTGCCCACCATCAGACGCCACCCTGTTAAGCCCATCAGGGGATGAAGTTGTCATAAAAAAAAAAGTGGCTCAGAGGCTGCGGACACCCTGAGAGCATGGAGGATGAATATCTATCCCCACCCACCCCATGTCCTTTTTGCTGTGTATCAGTCCATAGCTCCCTAATCAGGAAGGTCTAGATTAGATCAGCTCTAAGATTCCTGCCAATGCTAATCTCTGTGATTATGATCTGGCTATGGCTCCTATTTAAGTGTGCTGAATTTGGCTTATTGATGAGATAATGAGGTGAAAATATCCAAGAGACAGTTTGAAATATAGACTGGGCTGGGCAAAGTGGCTCATACCTGTAATCCCAGTACTTTGGGAGGCCAAGATGGCCAGATCACTTGAAGTCAGAAGTTCTAGACCAGCCTGGGCAGCATGGTGAGACCCCACCTCTACAAAAAATAGAAAAATGAGCCAGGCATGGTGGCACTTATCTGTAGTTCCAGCTACTCAGGAGGCTGAGGTGGGAGGAATGCCTGAACCTAGGAAGCAAAGCTGTGAGCTGAGATTATACCGCTTGTACTCCAGCCTGTGAATAAGAATAAGACCCTGTCTCAAAAAAAAAAAAAAAAAAAAAAAAAGGAAAAGGCAAAGGGAAAAAGAAAGAAAAAAGGTAGACTGAAGCTCTGGGAGGATTGAAGCTGGGGGTATAATTTGGGAATCAGTCTCATTGAGATGAAAATTGCAGCCAGGCAGACTATTTATTTTGAGACAGAGTCTCACTGTTTCCCAGGCTGGAGTATAGAGGCGCAATCTCGGCTCACTGCAACCTCTGCCTCCCGAGTTCAAGCAATTCTCACACCTCAGCTTCCCCGGGAGCTGAGATTGCAGGCACACGCCACCATGCCCAGCTAATTTTTGTATTTTTTGTAGAGACAGAGTTTCGCCATGTTGGCCAGGCAGTCTTGACCACCTGACCTCAAGTGATCCACCCGCCTTAACCTCCCAAAGCATTAGGATTACAGGCATGAGCCACCTCGCCCGGCCTCAGACTAAACTATTATAAAAGAAAAAGCAGAGAGAGTAAGAGTACCTCATATAGACGCTGGGGAATCGCCTACATTTCAGAAGCTGGAAGGGGAGAAAGAGTGGTCTACTTGATGATATGAAGCATCATCAATCAATATCAATACTCGCTTTAGGGTAAAGGCATAGCCAAATTGGAAACTATGAACAAATTTCAGAAACTCTGCACCAAAACTTACAAACCTCAAATCCCAGTTTTCTTCCTATCTCTTTGGCCACTCCCCTCAATTTCTTTAAGTTTTTATTTATTTTTTATTTATTTATTTGAGACAGGGTCTTGCTCTGTCACCCTGGCTGGAGTGCAGTGGCGTGATCATGGCTCACTGCAGCCTCAACCTCTTGGGTTCAAGCAATCCTCCCACCTTAGCTTCCTGAGTAGCTGGGACTACAGTCTCTCGCTACCACACCTGGCTAATTTTTGTATTTTTAATAGAGACAGGGTTTTGCTATGTTGGCCAGGCTGGTCTCGAACTCCTGGCCTCAAGTGATTTGCCTGCCTTGGCCTCCCAAAGTGGTAGGATTACAGGCGTGAGCCAGTAGGCCTGGCCTCAGTTTCTTTTATGGAGATTTGCTCAATGTCATTATCCTCAGGCTTCTCTCCTGCGTACACGTCTCCTGAACCATCTGGTCCAGTCTCATGAAATTTGCCACCCAATGTGCTCATGTTTCCCAAACCAGCATCTCTTGTCTAGACCCATGCTCGAATTAGCTGTTTCTCAAGTAACTTTTTTTTACTTCCCTGGTACCAGGGATAAAAGTCCCCTGAATTCAAACATGAATATTCACTTCACCCAGTCCTCTGGAAGGTCCACCAATCCCTGTTTTGGGAAGAAAGGAGCTGACCTCTAGCTGAGAAAAAAAACTCCATTCAAGGACCACACCTTCCACGTGCCTCACAATGTCAACTTCTTGCTTGGGATCTCCAGCCTCACCAAGGCTCAAAACGGACCCCAAATGCTCCTGCGCCACTGGTGGCTCCTGCACGTGCGCCAGCTCCTGCAACTGCAAAGAATGCAAATGTACCTCCTGCAAGAAGAGCTGCTGCTCCTGCTGCCCCATGGGCTGTGCCAAGTGTGCCCAGGGCTGTGTCTGCAAAGGGGCGTTGGAGAAATGCAGCTGCTGTGCCCGATGTGGGGACAACCCTGCTCCCAGATGTAAATAGACCCACCTGCACAAACCCGGATTTAAAAAAAATACAACCCGGAGCCATTTGCTGCATTTCTTTTTCTATTAAATATGTGAATGGCAATAAAACAATTTTGACTTGAAACAAACAAAAACTCCATTCAAGGATCTAAAAATTTGGCAGCTTGGAAGTGCAAAAGAAAAAATTGCAGCTTTGCACAGTGAGGCAGGGTGACCAACTTCTTCTAGTTTGCCAAAGAGTTTCCCAGTTTTGATACAAAAAGTCCCAAATCCCAGGAAACCTCTCAGTCCCAGGCAAACCAGGTGGTTAGCCAACCCCACAGGGAGGTGTCCTTTATGAGGCATGGCAAGGGCGGAAGCTTGGCAAAGGTGGCTGTGCCCATAAAACACAGACAGCTTATGAATGCTTGGGTGAGTAGTGCATATGCTTTACTCCCTAGGGCCCTCAGAGCCTTTTGCATGCGTCCCTAAGAGCAGGTGGGGGCAATGGAGCAGTGAAATTTGGGTATAAGGCTAATGTGACCTCATTTAAAACTGCAGACTGGTAAGGCCCAGGGACTTTGGGTATCTATTTACATAGCCAAGATCACACCAATTCACATTTTATCTGGTGCTTTTTTTGTAATCTATGGCTCTGCCAAATATTGTCGCAGTTTCACAGCTACATAATACTCCATCAAGAGGTTATTTAGGTGGTAGCTCACACCTGTAATCCCAGCATTTTTGGGAGGCCAAGGCGGATGGATGACTTGGTGTCAGGAGTTTGAGACCAGCCTGGCCAACATAAGATGGCATCTGTACTAAAAATACAAAAATTAGCCACATGTGGCGCACGCCTATGGTCCCAGCTACTCAGGAGGCTGTGGCATGAGAATTGCTTGAACCCATGAGGTGGAGGTTTCAGTGAGCTGAGATTGTACCACTCCACTCCAGCCTGGGTGATAGTGAGGCTCTGTCTTAAAAAAAAAAAAAGGAGGCCGGGTGCAGTGGCTCACGCCTGTAATCCCAGCACTTTGGGAGGCCGAGGTGGGTGGATCATGAGGTCAGGGGTTCAAGATCAGCCTAACCAATATGGTGAAACCCCATATCTACTAAAAATACAAAAATTAGCTGGATATGGTGGCGTATTCCTGTCATCCCAGCTACTTGGGAGGCTGATGCAGGAGAATCGCTTGAACCAGGACCCAGGAGGCGGAGGTTGCAGTGAGCCGAAATCATGCCACTGCACTTCAGCCTGGGCTACAGAGCAAGATTCTGTCTCAGAAAAAAAAAAAAAAAAAAAAAAAGGATTTTCATTGTGTTCCAGAAATGTTCCTATTATAAATACATCTTTGTGCTAAAAGGGTTTTTTTTTTTTCCTATATTTAAGATTTTTTTCAGGCTAGATGCAGTGGCTCATGCCTGTAATCCCAGCAGTTTGGGAGGCCAAGGCAGGAGGATTGCTTGAGGCCAGGAATTCAAAACTAGTCTGGTCAACATAGGGAGACCCCTATCTCTAAATTTAAAAAAAAGGTTTTAAAAAACTTAGCCGCACATGGTGGCACACCCCTGTAGTTCCAGCTACTTGGGAGGCTGAGGAGGGAAGATCACTTCAGCCCAACTGTTCAAGATATCAGTGAGCTATGATTGCACCACTGTACCCCAGCCTGGGTGACAGAGCAAGACCCTCTCTCTTAAAAAATAAAAATATACATGTTTTTCAGTAGTAATTTGGAAGTACCATTATGTGCCAGAGATAGTACTAAGTGCTTTACACGCATTATTTCCTTTAAATCTCATCATAAATAACACTCTGGAGTAGGTAGTATTTTCCCCAGGTAGAAACTGGTGCTCAGAGGTTACGTAATTTTCCCAAAGCCACATAGCTAGTGTGTGATGAAGCCAAGATTTGAAATCAGCACCACCACATACTTTCAAAATATGTTTATGGCGAATTTTGGTTTGTTTATGACTCTGTCATCTTTTACCTGGCTTTGCTCTACTGAGCCACCACTGAGCCTTGTATATGTATCTCTTTATTTTTGGTTATGTGCACTGCCCCAGTGACCATGCGTGTCTCTCTTTAGCACCTCTCCCACTGTGTTGAAATTGCTTGTTTGTACTTCCGCTCCACCTACAAGTGGAGAGTAGAACTGCATTTATTTATCTTTTCCCAACACATCTAGCAAGATATAGAGACTCAAGAGAAACTTGTTGAACATATAAAAGGAGAACTCCAGGCTGGGTGAGGTGGCTTACACTTTGTAATCCCAGCACTTTGGGAGGCCGAGGCAGGTGGATCACCTGAGGTTGGGAGTTCAAGACCAGCCTGACCAACATGGTGAAACCCCATCTCTACTAAAAATATAAAATTAGCCAGGTGTGGTAGCACATTCCTGTAATCCCAGCTACTCAGGAGGCTGAGGCAGAAGAATTGCTTCAATCTGGGAGGCGGAGGTTGTGGTGAGCAAGATTGCACCACTGCACTCCAGCCTGGGCAACAAGAGCAAAACTCCATCTCAAAAAAAAAAAAAAAATTATCTGAGGTTAGTAAGGGGTACCTGTAATCCCAGCTACTTGAGAGGCTGAGGTAGGAGAATAGCTTGAACCTGGGAGATGAAGGTTGCAGTGAGCTAAGGATCTCACCACTGTACTCCAGCCTGAGTGACAGAGAGAGGCTCTGTCTCAAAAAAATTAATTAATTAATTAATAATAAAAGGAGAACTCCACTGGCTGAGAGCGAAGGGAAGGATTATTTCAGGATCGAGGATACTGGAACTGCTGGATGAGTGAGGATTGACAGTCTAATAGGTATTCAAAGAAGATGCATTACCAGGAGTCAGGGAGGACTTGAGTCCATCAAACTTGAATATACAGAGTGGATCCGCCTTGCTTGGGAAACAGGGGGAAGAACAAAATGTTTGGGGACCAGCTCTGTGATCTTGGGCAGGTTTCTTTTGAGACAGAGTCTCGCTCTGTCACCCAGGCTGGAGTGCAGTGGTGCAATCTCGACTCACTGCAACCTCCGCCTCCTGGGTTCAAGCGATTCTTCTGCCTCAGCCTCCGGAATAGCTGAGATTACAGGTGCCGACCACCATGCCCGGCTAATTTTTGTATTTTTAGTAAAGATGAGATTTCACCATGTTGACCAGGCTGGTCTCTGTCTCCTGACCTCAAGTGATCTGCCCGCCTCAGCCTCCTAAAGTGCTAGGATTATAGGCGTGAGCCACTTCGCCCAGCCTGGGCAGGTGTCTTGACCTTGGTCTTCTCATCTGTAAAATGGAATATATCCATCCACATCACAGAGTTTAATAAAATGAGGATTAAATGAAGTAATGAACATAAAGAGCTTAGCGTGGTGCCTGAAACCTAGTAAACAATAAAGGTTAGTGGTAATAATAATTATGAACTTATTTAATATTTTATTAATAGAACATTTGGGAATGCATAGACAGTCATATGGTATAGTTCAATGTAAATACTCTGGAATCAGATCTGGATTTGGTCCCATGGATACTGGATACTGTCATAATTTGCATATATAGATATATATACATATACTTATGTTTTTTTTTTAACCTCTCTGAGTCTTAATTTTTTCAGCTGTGAAATGAAAGTAAAAATAGAACTTTTTGCATAGGATTATTTTAAGGGTTCAGTGAAATAATACACATAATATATTTAACTTGGGGACCAGATAACATGGGAGGTTCTCGAAATTTTTATCTTCTAATTGTCATTTAAGCTTGCAGTGATTTTATTTATTTTCTGTTTATTTTTTATGTATTTATTTTTATTATTTTATTTATTTATTTATTTATTTGAGACGGAGTTTCACTCATGTTACCCAGGCTGGAGTGCAATGGCATGATCTCGGCTCACCGCAACCTCCGCCTCCTGGGTTCAGGCAATTCTCCTGCCTCAGCCTCCTGAGTAGCTGGGATTACAGGCACGCACCACCATGCCCAGCTAATTTTTTGTATTTTTAGTAGAGACGGGGTTTCACCATGTTGACCAGGATGGTCTCGATCTCTTGACCTCATGATCCACCTGCCTCGGCCTCCCAAAGTGCTGGGATTACAGGCTTGAGCCACCGCGCCCGGCTCTATTTTTTTTTTATAATCTATTTCCTGTAGAGATGGGGTCTCACGATACTGCCCAGGCTGGTCTTGAACCCCTGGACTCAAGTGATGCTCCTGCCTCAGCCTTACAAAGTGCTGGACCTACAGGTGTGAGCCCCTGTGCCTGGCTAAGAGATTGTTTAATTTATTGATTAATTGATTGAGATGGAGTCTTGCTCTGTCGCCCAGGCTGGAGTGTAGTGGCACAATCTCAGCTCACTGCAACCTCTGCTTCCCAGTTCAAGCAATTCTCCTGCCTCAACCTCCTAAGTAGCTGGGATTACATGTGTGCGCCACCATGCCCAGCTAATTTTTGTATTTTTTAGTAGAGACGGAGTTTCATCATGTTGGCCAGGCTGATCTCACATTCCTGACCTCAAGTGATTCACCTGCCTCAGCCTCCCAAAGTGCTGGGATTACAGGCATGAGCCACTATACCTGGCCTGGCTAAGAGATTTTAAATCCTCTCATTCTCCTAGAAAGAATACCATCAGTTCATGTCGACCCAGAGCCCATCTCTGACTTACTCTTTAACATTCTGTTAGCTACGTGAATAATTCTCCTGTTTGTACCAATATAACCTTAGATGTGGTTTTTTGTCTGTGTGTGTGTGTTTATTTTTTTTTTTTGAGACGGAGTTTTGCTCTTGTTACCAGGCTGGAGTGCAATGGCGCGATCTCGGCTCACCGCAACCTCCGCCTCCTGGGTTCAGGCAATTCTCCTGCCTCAGCCTCCTGAGTAGCTGGGATTACAGGCACACGCCACCATGCCCAGCTAATTTTTTGTATTTTTAGTAGAGACGGGGTTTCACCATGTTGACCAGGATGGCCTTGATCTCTTGACCTCGTGATCCACCCGCCTCAGCCTCCCAAAGTGCTGGGATTACAGGCTTGAGCCACCGCGCCCGGCCAATGTGTTTATTTTTTTGAGACAGAGTCTCGCTCTGTTGCTCAGGCTGGAGAACAGTGATGCAGTCTTGGCTCACTGCAACCTCTGCCTCCCAGGTTCAAGTGATTCTCCTGCC